GGTAGATGGTTGGAGGGAGGGATGGATGGATGGATGGATGGATGGATGGATGGGTGGATGGATGGAGGATAAATGGATGGATGGATGGATGGATGGATGGATGGATGGATGGATGGATAAATGGATGGATGGATGGATGGATGGACGGACAGATGGATGGGGGACAGGCTTGTGGGGTAGGTGGGTGGAGGGAGGGATGGATGGATGGATAAATGGATGGATGGATGGATGGATGGATGGATGGAGGATAAATGGATGGATGGGTGGATGGAGGATAAATGGATGGATTGGTGGATGGATGGATGGACTGGGGGACAGGCTTGTGGGGTAGATGGGTTGAAGTTTCCCTCCAGTCTGATTAGAGGCATCAGCTCTGAGGTCTGTTCTGCGGGGCACCAAGAGAGCGGTCCCCTTCAGAACCACATCTAAAAGGTGGGTAGCAGATGGTAGACCTTGAAGGGCAGGTGCCACTCTTGATGCTGAGGGTGCACCAAAGCCAGATTAGACCATTCTTTTGGATTCCAAGTGCACGGGACAGTATTTTCCACTTTCTTTAAAAATAATAATAGGGAGCATTTGAGATTGTGCTTCCCAGCATCTGTCATCAATTTGGCTCAAATAAATCCTTATAAAAATTCAAGTAAAATAAAAATAATAGCGTGGCCTGTGTGTTTCCCTCTCCAGCATGTCCTGAGGTGATGAGAGAACAGAGAACACGAAAGAAAATACCAGATGCCAAGAAACCTCTGTCCGATGTCCTCTGGCCCTGGATCTCATCCCACCTCATCCTGAATCCCAGTCTTTGGAGGGTGCCTGTCTCCTCCACCCACCTCTGAAACCCGGCATCCTTTTTAGCTGCTTGAACACGTTTTTGTAATGATGCAGTAGACGTGCATTCGGGAAAAGAATCCGGTTCTCAGCCCTCCACCCTCCAGACTCATGAGCTCACAGCCAAGAAGAGAGAGAAGCGCAGGGCATGGCCCATGTGTCCTCTGGCCTCTGAGTCCCAGCCCACTCCACAAAGTCCTGCTTCAAGACCCTTCTCTTGCTGGACACTGGCCCAGGTTGGAGCCATAGATGCCCGCCCCACCCCCTCCACCTCCGGCTCCCTGGCCAGACCTGGAATTCGTTCTTGTGCCTTTCCTCCCAGAATGGCTCCCGCAATCCTGGGCGTCTGGCCAGGAAGCTCAGCCCCCCAACAGAGCTGTGCCCTGGGCACCTTCAACCTCATGGCTTTTCATTTGAATGCCCCCCTTTTTCTCTGATGACATCGACGTGGGAGCATTGGAGCCCACAGCACAAGTGAGAGCTGCCACTGGTCATCCTTGTCCTCCACCCTCTCGATCTAGAACTTTCTCAAGCCCCTTTAATACAAATACTATGCCACAGGGCCATCGATCAATACCTCCAAAGGGAATGAGCTGCCCCCACTTCTCCAGTCCCCCAACACAGACTTGGGATGTGCCCCTTGGATCTCCACCAAGAGCAGAGGCTGAGAAGCCGACTCTGAAATAGGCTCATCCTGGAAACACAGACCAAGAAAAAGGAAGAAACAGGGTAGGGTGTTCGTTTGTTTCAAAGGTCACCTGGGGATATAAGTTCCAGTGGACTGGATGCTACAGCCACCTGCATGCAAAGGAGACAGACTTTTCTATTATGGTCCAAACACCAGTCAGGTGGCCTCTAGAGGTAGTGAGTTCCCTGTCTCGGGGGGTATTTAAGAAAAGGCTGGACTATGCTTGCAGAAAATGGTCCTCGGTGCCCCCTCCAGCCCTAAGAGTCTCTATTTCTATGAATCTGAGCAAACGTTGAGCAGGCACACACCCCGGGCCCCTCTTTCTGGCTCTGAAGCTGGCTCCTTAGCTGGTAATCGTCGAGGTTCAGTTGAGCCACCCCAATTTCCGAGTACGAGGTTCTTGGCCTCAGTAGAAATGTCTGATGCTTCTCGACCTGGCATGGCAGGGGCTGCTTTTAGAGCTCTCCCAACAAGAGGGAGCTATTGGCATTGAGCACTAAGAAAAGGGATGCCCAGCGCTTTGCCACATCAAGGAATTGTCCCAACGCCAGCCGCTCCTGCCTTGAAAAATGCCAGGTTTCTGAGCTGCTTTGGGCCTGCATATTCTGGGACCCAGCATTGCCCTCAAGAGGCCAGGACATTTGGGCGCCCGGTGGCATTTTGTAACTTGTAGTTCTGCTCTTTCCCAAATGTCAAATAAAGAACAGGGACCTTGTTCTGGGCCCAGGTGCCTCACCTGGAGCCTGAGGCAGCAGAGGTTGGTGGATGGGCCTCCCTAGACTGCTCTCCGCAATGCCCCTCTATCCCAGGCCCTAAACTCCAGGTTCAGGTGGCCCAGCCTTGCTCGTCTGAGACCGACATGGTCCTGAAAGGCCCAAACTCCTACCCCAGTGAATGCAGTAACTCCTGGAAGGCCGGTGCCTTCCTGCAAGGAAAAAAAATTAAAAAAGGAGCCAGGGATAGGAAGCAATTCATTCTACCCAATCCCAGGATTAGTAAATGCCTGCAGACGGACAAAGGTGCTGACCCCGTTCAGCCCTCAAGGACCTGCAGGCTAAAGATCCTGGCCACACGCAAAATTCCAACAGGTTCACCGTGGTCTGCCACCGCCCCTCCGGACCGCCAGCACCACAGACAACCATTGGGCAAGCAGAACCAAGGACCCCAACTCAGCCTCAGCAGTCCTTCCAGAACAAAGAGAGACCCCTGAGAAGGCCCTCGCCAGGCCAGCCGCCTGTCACAGGTGTGAGACGTTCTGTGCAAACAGCCACCGTGTCCAGCCAGGCTGCTACCCCCACCCTCTGAAACTGGCTTTGGGGAAGATTTGTATCTGTGGGGCAGTTTGGGCCCAAATAGAAAGGGCCTGGGTCCCTTGTCATAAAGGAACAATGAATGGACTTTCCTCTTGTGACACGTGGGGGCACCCTAAGTCCTGCCCCAAAGTCAAAGTTCACACGCCCATCCTTCCCATGGCGAGTCTTGCGGTTTTTAAAGACAAAAAACAATTCATTATGATTACTGTTGTGATGTGAGGACATCATTTCCATAAACTTGGGGGGATTTTTATGTGAAATAAACTAAACTGAGAACAGAAGTTTCTAGTTTTGCCTATTTCCAAGGGCTGTGGTCCTTGCCGGTCTTAGGTGAGTTTCAGAGGAGAAAATGCCAACAGCTCCGTGCCTTGGGTGACCTTGCATGACCTTGAGCCATCATCTGTCCTGTGTGGCTTCCATCTGTCATCTGTAGAGCGGGGGCCTGTTGACTTGTCCCAATGCCCCTTCTGACTCTGCTTCTCTGTGATTCAAGTTCATTTCCTGCCCCTAATCCTTTCTGGAATCAAACCCAGTCAGCAGTTCATAGTAATAATACTATATTAATTATTATATATGCATGTATAACTATACACTCTATTAATTACTATAGCATTATTATAAATGTACTATTATTATACTGAATGGGAAAACTATTTCCTCTCTACACTCAACACCAACCCTGACACCAGATGGGGGGGCTTTTTCCCACGCCGAGCGATTCTCCAGTTCTGGGCAGACACCAGTTGAATGTCCTGTAATTTAACTGAATTCTGACACTGCCCGGAGTTAGTGCAGACCCCACAGAAGCCGGTCAAAGTAGCGGGTGCCCAGGTTACCCACACTTCTGTCCCACTTGGCTACAAATCTGGGTTCCCATACATGCCCCCACTTGAGGTTGGACAAGTTGCTATAGCAGTTCACAGAACTCAGGAAACCCGTTGACTTGCTAGGTTAGCAGCTTTTATAAGGACTAGAGCTCGGGAACAGCCGGATGGAAGAGACGCATAGAGCAAGGTTTGGGGAAGGGGCTGCCTCTCCTGGCACTACCTCCCGGCAGGTGGATGTGCTCCCCCGCCCGGAAGCGCTCCGAGCCCCTTCATTTAGGGTTTTTGTGGCAGCTTCGTCACACAGGTGTGATTGATTAGATTGCTGGCCTTTGGTGATTGACTCGGTCCCCAGCCCCTCTCCCCTGAAAACTCCATCCTCTACGGAATGCTGGCTCCCCTGGCCACCAGCCCCCTTCCTGCGGTTCCAGGGCCTTTCCCAGGCCACACCCTCAGCATAAACTCAGGGGCGGTTGCAAGGACTTGTTACAAATAGCAAAAGGCACCTCTTTCATCTGTATCATTCTGGAGCTGTTTCAGGAATCAAAGAGGAAAGTCCAAATAGTATAACAAAAGATACGCCCTCTTCTCACTTAGCAAATTACAAGGGTCTCAGGAACTGTGTGAAGGGACTAAGGCCAAATCTCTACTTAATATAAATCACAATAATAATAATAATAAAATAATAATAACAGCCTGTGCCCCACTAGTATAGTCCTCATGTTACTGGGGGGACACTGAGCACAGAGAGATGGCATGGCCCACCCAGGTCACACAGGACAGTTGGGAGGCTAGAACCTTCAGTCCAGATGGACACCCCAGCGCCATCGTAAGCAGCTGCTTGAACTTGGGCGAGGGGTCCCTCAGCTTCCAGGGGTACAGAGCGCGAGCGGCAAGGTCATGCTCCACCCACCCCATCCCCGAGGCCAAGCCCAGTGACTCCTCCAGGCCTCACATGATCCCTGGATGAGCAGCCCTGGGATCACGCTGTGCGTTTCTGACCAGCCTGGGTCACCAGCACGGCTACCTTGGCACTCACCATTCTGGACCTTAAGCCCATCTTGGCACAGCCTCCTTGCACAGGGAAGTTCCCAGGGCAGGGGGGTTGGGTGGGGTGCTGGCACTGCTGCTGCAGCTGGTGATGGAGTGAGGGGGGGCGGGGGCGGGGGTCCCTTTCCTCAGGGCCACCAGAACCAGTGCTAATGTCAGGGTCAGGCCAGAGGACAGGCTGGCGGGATATTTTTAGGAAGGGAGGATGTGTGGCGCCTTATCTGCCACAAGGGGCAGGCGGTCTGGCTCGGAGGGGGGAAGAGGAGAGTAAAGAGAGCAGGAGGAGGGAAGAGGCAGCCGGGGTGACATCCACCCGCACCCCCTCCCGCCCAGCTGGCCCATGACTAATTTAGGCAAAAGGCAGCGTGGAGCTATTTCCATGCAGAGGGAACAGGTGCGGGGAGAGGGGGGCGGGGTGCTTGCTCCCACCCCGTGGGCCATGCTGCCAATTGGCCGCGTGTGGCCTCCCTCGTGGCGGCCTCTGGGCTGCCCGGGCCTATAAAGGTGCCAGGTTTTTCTCAATGAAGCCGGGACGCAGCGCAGTGCAGCGTTGGACCCAGCGGAGTGCCCGGGATTCAGCAGGCCGAGCGCGATCCCCGCCGCCCCTCCGCGTGGAAATGAAGTGCATCGTGGGCATCGGAGGGTGAGCGGCCTGGGCGCCCGAGGGGCGGCCTCGCGGGGGCAAAGGCGCAGAGGAGCGCGCGGGGAGGCCGCGGAATGAATGGAGGGCTGCCTGGGGTCCCAGGCCTGCGGCCCAAGGTCTGAGTGTGGGGAGGGGTCTGCGCGCTTGGAGGCTGGGCGCGCCCATCTGCCTGGGCGCGAGCCCAATTTTAAATTTTCAAACGGAAATTACTTTTCCCCGCTATACTCAGTGTAAAACCAAAAACCAGTGGGACTCAGAGAAGACTTTCTGAAGCCCAGACAGGCCCTTCTAACAAGGCTGGGACCATCTTGGCGGGAAGGTGGGGGAGACACCCTACCTGGAGGCAGACAGTGGGCAGGTGGGGCAGCCCCCAGAATGGCATTCCGGTGTGACTTCTGTCAGCACCTGGCAGTCAGGGCCCCGCTTCCCCGGGTATTTAAAGTCTCCATTTTGCCGGGCTGGTGTGGGCTCAGTGGTTGAGCATCGACCTGTGAACCAGGAGGTCAGAGTTCGATTCCAGGTCAGGGCACAACCCCGGGTTTCAGGCTCAATCCCCAGTGGGGGACATGCAGGAGGCAGCCGATCAATGATTCTCTCTCATCATTGATGTTTCTAGCTTTCTCTCCCTCTCCCTTCCTCTCTGAAATCAATAAAAATATATATGAAAAAATAAAATAAAAAATAAAGTCTCCATTTTATTACCAATAATCTGGCCTTTTAAGATGATGCTAGGGAAGCATTTCACCTAATCAGGGGCTTAGGGACAGAAAGTCCTACCCAGGGAGTTGCCCTGGCCCCTTCCCTCACTTGGTTTAGACTTTTTTAAATTAAATTTTAGAGAGAGAAAGGGGGCAGAGAGAGAGAGAGATTTGTTGTTCCGCTTATTTATACATTGATTGGTTGGTTGTTGTATGTGTCCTGATGGGGTGTGTGGGGGAGGGAGGGCGGCGGTGATTGAACCCATAACCTTGGTGTATGGAGACTATGCTCTAACCAGTGAGCTACCCGGCCAGGGCCCTCCCCCACTTGCTCTGCTATCACCCAGTTGACATTCCTAATACGTTTGAAGGAGGGCCCCTACGTTCCATTTTGTTCCAAGCCCTGCAAATTCTGTAGCCACCGTGAGTGCAAGGCGTGTCTTTTAGTAAGGACCCAAACGCATGTCAGGGATGTTCTAAGCTGCTCCCCCTTAGTATCCGAGGGTCCCCATTCCTGTCAGCCCTTTCAAGTGGCTGCAGCTCCCCCCTGTCCCACACCTGGCTTTCTGCCTCTGATTCCTAAAGTAAAGACCGTAAGGTCAGCCCTGACCGGTTTGGCTCAGTGGATAGAGCGTCGGCCTGTGGACTCAAGGGTCCCAGGTTTGATTCCGGTCAAGGGCATGTACCTTGGTTGCGGGCACATCCCCAGTAGGGAGTGTGCAGGAGGCAGCTGATCGATGTTTCTAACTCTCTATCCCTCTCCCTTCCGCTCTGTAAAAAATCAATAAAATATATTTTTTTAAAAATAAAAAAAGACCATAAGGTCAGAGGGACGGACACTGATTTCCAGAAAGGCCTTGCAGTGACCCTTCTATGTCCTTTGTCAGCTCCAGGAGGCCAGAGTCTCGCTCCCTCTGCCACAGGGCGACCCCTCCCCCGTCCTGGTCTTCCTGGCACCAAGGGTCCCCAGGATTCGGGACTTTCAGTGCTAAAAACAGAGACATCCTTGGCTGTGGGGCGCGGCTACAGTGTTTTGGCCAGGTTCAAGCCTCGGACTAATGGAAGGACAGGGTCCTCTCATTGCCACGTGCAAGTCCCAGCTGGAAGGCAGGGCCCTCCCAGCACAATCATAGCCAACGGCTGTGGCTGTGAGCTTGAACCTATGGTCCAAACACGTAGCCCCACGTGCCTTGCGCTAAAGTTCAGGTGCATGTAGTTGAGTGAGGTTGGAACTCACGAGAATGCTGTAAACAACGTGATCACGCCCCTACTTTGCCTCGTGGCATCAGCTATAAAATAAAGACACGGCTTGTGGGCGCTGGCGCTGTCTCCTCATCAGGGAGTATTCTCTTGTCTGTCTTTTCCTTAATCCTTTCACCCCCCCCCCCCCCCTCAGTTTACCTTTGGCCGCAACACTTGGCAAAGCAGGGCAAGTTGGTCACCTGCTTTTACAATTGCTTTCTTTTCTTTGCTTTTCTTTGCTTTTCTTGTTTTGTCTTTTCTTGGTTACAGCCAGTTCATAAAGTTGAGTGCCTCTTAGTTTTGCAGTGAACTACTGGTTTTTCTATTGCAAATATTTTTTTCTCCACCAGTTTGCACTTGTTTTAACATTCTGAGCCCCACCCCCCAAAAAAGCCCTACTAGGGCTCAGTCATGCTTGGATCTCAGTTTCCTCTCTGGCTCCACCTCCTGGGTTTGCAAAGACGCTGAAGTGAGTTCTGTGCTCAGGATGGTCCTGCGCCCACCAAGACTGAGTTAGCTATTTCTTTTCATACTTTCCGCTCCTTTTCGCTGCTTAAAAGGCCTCCTGGGTTCTAGGCAAATAATAATATCCTCTTGGCTCTATGGTTTTACAGTTCTGTGTTTATATTGGAGTTTGATTGGGGGGTGGGGCTCAGACCCCTCCAGGCAGCCTCACCCTTACGATGTCTCCACAGCATGACCAACGGCGGCAAGACCACACTGACCAACAGCCTGCTCAAGGTGCTGCCCAACTGCTGTGTGATCCACCAGGATGACTTTTTCAAGGTGGCCGCCCTCACCTGGGATCAGGAGGAGTCAGCCCAGGCTACCCTGTCCTCTGCTGCCCACTGTGGGCTGGGCACAGACCCCTCCCCAGTCAGGAGAGCAAGGGATGGGTGTTCTCACTTACTGAGCAGCTACTGTGCACCTGGCACGTTAGACTGGCATTCGACTGATGGAGACGCTGCTGTTCCCATAGGGGGTGTGCCACCAGACCAGTGCCACGGTGGCCTTCCAGGCCCTTTCTCCCTCTGCACCTCCACTTTCCCATCTGCAAAATGGGCTGAGCCCACCTCCACGCTTTCTGGAGGGTGAGGGGTGATGAGGTGATGGATATAAAGTCTCCTCCCTCCTGGTCCCAAGAGTCATGAGGTGGGGGAGGGGAGTGTCCCAGTGCCAGCCTGAACCCCTCAGAGCCTGTAAGCATCAACTGCAGAGGGTCGGGGCAGGCAGCCCCGCCAGGCCCTGGGCCCCTCACTGTGGGCTCTCCAGGAGCCGAGGGGCCCACCAAGATTCAGTCAGCCCAGGGTGGTGGTGAGGCGGGAAGGCGGGCACTGAGCCCGGGGTTCGGGCTCCTCTGTTTCAGCCCCAAGACCAAATCGCCGTTGGGGAGGACGGCTTCAAGCAGTGGGATGGTAAGGATGGCCAGCGGCCCCGCGCCCCTTGCCTGCCCTGTCCCCCCTTCCCCGACTCTGCCAACGCCGCTCTCCCTGCCCCCAGTTCTGGAGTCCCTGGACATGGAGGCCATGCTGAGCACCGTGCAGGCCTGGATGAGCAACCCCCGGAAGTTCGCCCGCGCCCACGGGGTCAGCGTCCAGCCGGACGCCTTGGACACCCACATCCTCATCCTGGAGGGCTTCCTGCTGTACAGCTACAAGTGAGTGGCGGCAGGTTCCCGCCCGACACTCTGGGTCCTCCCAGGGGTGGGGCTCAGCTCAGAGGGCCGGGGCAAAACCCCCACTTCTGGGGGAAACTGAGTCCTCCCTCTTGGCCGAGCAGGGGGTTGGGCTGGACCCCTGGCCTCACTGTGGGACCCCGGCCAAGACATAGCACCTCTGTTGGCCCATCCAAATCGGGGGCTGCTGTGGGGCGTTCCTGGGCCTAGCAGGAGACTGGCCGATGCTGGTCCCCTCCCTGACCCCTACACGAGCAGCCCAGACCCCACCGCGCCCCAGCCCTCATCACCCAGAAAAGTCCCCGGAGGCCGAGGCTGGGGGATGTGTGCCTCTGACCCCATGAAGGAAGCCCATAGCGCTGACCGTGCCCTCCACCCCTGCCAGGCCCCTGGTGGACTTATACAGCCGACGGTACTTCCTGACCGTCCCCTACGAAGAATGCAAGTGGAGGAGGAGGTGAGCCGGGGGCCCCGTCTGGATTCCCCGGTGGGACCAGGAAACCACCAATGCCTCCTGGACACAGGCCACCCTGAAACCACTTTGGCGGCCAGCAGGCACTTAGCTGCCCATGGTGTGTTCCAAAAGCCCCAGCCAGGGACCTGGAGGCATGGCCCACCTCGGCACTGCCCTAGGCATCTCCCAGGCTCAGGGGGTGGAAAATGGCAGAAGCCGGAGCACCCAGACCCCAGCCATGGCCCCTGACTCAGTGGTACTCTCCCTGAACAAGTTCACATCCCCCAGGCTCTGCCCATGGTACCGCCTTGGGCAACATGGGCGTCACTCATTCTTGCCAATCTCTCTCCCCAGTACTCGAAGCTACGAGGTCCCCGATCCCCCCGGCCTCTTTGATGGCCACGTGTGGCCCATGTACCAGAAGTATAAGCAAGAGATGGAGGCCAACGGCGTGGAAGTAGGTAAGGCCCTGAGTAGGATGAGTGAGGCCTGGCCCTGGGGGGACCCTGAGCCCAGCCCCTCCCCATGGGGACCAGTTGGGAAACCTGGAAGTTCCTCCTCAAGTCTCATTGCCAATCCCTCTTGCTTTGGACCCCGGAGGCTATTCTAGTCCAGCAGCCTGACTGCAGGTCGGCTTCCTCCTGACCCAGTCTGCCCGGCTCCCTGTGCGCCGGCCGCCTCCTCCTGGCAGCAACCTGGTGTCCCAGCAGTTGCGGCCCTGACCGCGGCCTTTCTGATTTCAGTGTACCTGGATGGCATGAAGTCCCGTGAGGAGCTCTTCCACCAGGTCCGGGAGGACATCCAGAACTCGCTCCTGAACCACTCCTAGTGGCTGGGGGATGGGGGGCCCGACCCCGGACTGGAGAGACACACATACAATTCCGGCCACAGTACGGCCAGGCTGGCGGCGTCCCAGCAAGATACCGCACGACCATTTTCCTTGGTGGATGTCTGTACATATGAGAGTGGAGGCCCCACTCACAGCCCAGCATCTCAGGGCCCTGGGATCCGCCCTGAGATGCCTCTGTAACCTCACAGCAGCTTAAGTATTAAACCTGATCCTATTTTTTGTAACTGTCGGAGTTCAGCCTGTTGTATTTGAGGTGCCAAAGAGAACCCTCCTGTCCCTTCTCCTTGCTTCATTGGTGGCCTCTGGGGGTGGGGGGCGCGGGCACTGAGAGCTCTGGATGGTTAGCGCCACCTGTTGGACCCATACCAACATGACCCCAGGGGCTGCTTGGGGTTACTTGCGGCTTCAGTTTCCCCAGAGGGGAAATTTCCTACCAGCTTTCTTTTTTAAAAAAATTATTTATTTTTTTTGGGGGGGGGCCCTAGCCAGTTTGGCTCATTGGATAGAGTATCGGCCTGCTGACTGAAGGGTCCCAGGTTTGATTCTGGTGGTTGCAGGCTCGATCCCCAGTGGGGAGTGTTCAGGAAGCAGCCGATCAATGATTCTCTCATCATTGATGTTTCTGTCTCTCTCTCCCTCTCCTTTCCTCTCTGAAATCAATAAAAATATACTTTTTTAAAAATATTTTTTTGTATTTTATTGATTTTTTACAGAGAGGAAGGGAGAGGGATAGAGTTAGAAACATCGATGAGAGAGAAACATCGATCAACTGCCTCGTGCACATCTCCTACTGGGGATGTGCCCGCAACCCAGGTACATGCCCTTGACCGGAATGGAATCTGGGACCTTTCAGTCCGCAGGCCGACACTTTATCCACTGAGCCAAACCGGTTTCGGCAAAAAATATACTTTTTTTTTAAAGACCCCGAATAGCTGCAGCAATCTTGAGAAAGAAAAACAAAGTTGGAGGAATCACAATACCAGATTTCTAGTTACACTACAAAGCCACCATAATCAAAACAGCCTGGTAGCGGCACAAGAACAGGCAAGAACAGAGAACCCAGAAATCGACCCAAGCCATGATCCTCAATTCATATTTGACAAAGGAGACAAGAGCCTACAATGGAGTCACGACAGTCTCTTCAATAAATGGTGCTGGGAAAATTGGACAGATACATGCAAAACAATGAAACTAGACCACCAACTTATACCAAACACAAAAACAAACTCAAAATGGCTAAAGGACTTAAATGTAAGTCGTGAAACCATAAAAATCCTAGAAGAAACCATAGGCAGCAAAATCTCAGACTTCTCTCGTTGTAATATGTTTACAGACACATCTCCTAGGGCAAAGGAAACTAAGGAGAAAATAAACAAATGGGACCGCATCCAACAAAAAGGGAGCCCGCTGTGCGGGAGAACATATCTGGCAATGACACATCTGGTAGAGGGTTAATGTCCAAACTATACAAGGAACTCATGCAACCTAACAAAAGGAAAACAAACCATCTAATTAGAAAATGGGCAGAGAGGGACCGTGCAGGAGGCAGCCGATCAATGATTCTCTCTCATCATTGATGCTTCTCTCTCTCTCTCCCTCTCCCTTTCTCTCTGAAATCAATAAAACATATATATTTTTTAAAAAGCTGTGGCACATTTACACCATGGAATACTCTGCAGCAGTAAAAAAGAATCTCTTACCCTTGAGACAGCATGGAGGGACCTGGAGGGTATCGTGCGAAGTGAAATAAGCCAGTCAGAGAAAGACAAGCATCACATGATCTCACTCAGATGTGAAACCTAAGTAACAAAATAAACCGATGAATGGAGTGGATCCAGAGACACGGAAGCATGGAACAGAGTGCGGAATCTCAGAGGGAAGGCGGGGGAGGGTGGGTGGGTGGGAAGTAATCAACCAACTACCTTGTATGCATATATGCATGGCTCATGGCCACAGACAATGGGACGGTGAGGGCCTGGGGCAGGGAGCAGGGCGGGCTGAAGGGGGTTAATGAAGGGAAAAGGGGACCTATGTAATACTTTCAACAATAAAGAATTATTTTTTTAAAAAATGTGACTGTATCTGGAAGTGATTAAATGATGATTAAGTTAAAATGGGGTCCTGAGTCCCAGCTGGTTTGGCTCAGTGGATAGAGCATCGGCCTGCAGACTGAAGGGCCCTGGGTTCAATTCCGGTCAAGGGCACATGCCCAGGTTTCAGGCTCAGTCCCCAGTGAGGGGCATGCAGGAGGCAGCCGGTCAGTGATTCTTTCTCATCGTTGTTTCTATCTCTCTCTCCCTCTTCCTTCCTCTCTGAAATCAATAAAAATAAATAAATAGGTTGAGTGTCAACCCATGAGCCAAGGGGCCCCCTGTTCAATCCCTAGTCAGGGCACATGCCCAGGTTGAGGGCTTGATTCCCAGTAGGGGTGTGTGGGAGGTAGCCAATAGATATCTCTCTCTTATCAATGTTTCTATCTCTCTATCCCTCTCCCTTCCTTCCTCTCTAAAATCAATAAAAATGGCCCTAGCCAGTAATGTTCAGTGAATAGAGCGTCAGCCTGTGGACCAATGGGTCCCGGGTTCTATTCCAGTCAAGGGCACATGCCCGGGTTTCAGGCTTGGTCCCCAGTAGGGGACATGCAGGAGGCAGCCAATCAGTAATTCTCTCTCATCATTGATGTTTCTATCTCTCTCTCCCTCTCCCTTCCTCTTTGAAATCAATAAAAATATATTTAAAAAATAAATAAAATCAAGCCGAAACCGGTTTGGCTCAGTGGATAGAGCGTCGGCCTGCGGACTGAAAGGTCCTAGGTTCGATTCCGGTCAAGGGCATGTACCTGGGTTGCGGGCACATCCCCAGTAGGAGATGTGCAGGAGGCGGCTGATCGATGTTTCTCTCTCATCGATGTTTCTAACTCTCTATCTCTCTCCCTTCCTCTCTGTAAAAAATCAATAAAATATATTTTAAAAAAATAAAATTAAATAAATAAATAAAATCAATAAAAATGTATTTTTAAAAAGGAGAAGAAATTTGGACACACAGAGGGACACCATGGCACATGTGCACACTGAGGACAGAGAGAAGATGCCCATCTGCAAGGCAGGGAGGCCTAAGAACGAACCAGCCAGGCAAATCCACAGACAGAACATGGATTCGCGGTTGCCAGGGGCTGGAGGAGTGGGGAAGGGGGGCTGACTGGTAATGAGGATGGGACTTATTTTGGGGGGAGGATAAAGTATTCTAAATTATTGTAAAAAAAAAAAAAAAAAAAAAAAAAAATTTATTGTATTCTAAAGTGGATGGTTGCACAGCCCTGTGAAGATGTAAAAAATATATATATATATATAGTGTACACAACACATTAAACAGGTAAGTTGTATGGTATGTTAACTCTATCTCAATAAAAGCTGTCTAAAAATCCTTTAGAACTTACTTTTAAAAATCCAATGTGACTTTTACTTAATTCAGCAGCATTTTCAATATGTGTGATTTTAATAAGAAATACATCAATGCCCATTTGCTCATTAACAGCACATCATTATCATGCTAATCAATTGGGTATATGTTTTAATAGGACACTAAATGTTAATTCATTCAAACAAATGTTTATTGGAGCCGGCTGGCCTGGCTCAGTGGTTGAGCGTCAACCTATGAACCAGGAGATCACTGTTCGATTCGCGGTCAGGGCACATGCCTGGGTTGCAGGCTCGGTCCCCAGTAGGGGGCATGCAGGAGGCAGCTGATCCATGATCCTCTCTCATCATTGATGTTTCTGCCTATCCTTCCTTCCTCTCTGAAATCAATAAAAATATATATGTTTTTAAATGTTTATTGGATATGTAGTATATGGATTGACAAACTATGGCCCATGGGCCAAATCCAGCCTACTGCATGTTCTTTTGTACAGCCCTTGAAATAAGAATGACTTTACATTTTTAAATAATTCGGGGGGGGGGTATATTTTACTAGAGGCCTGATGCATGAAATTCGTGCAAGGGGCTTGGCCCTCGAAGCCCCTCGAAGCCCCTTGAGCCCCTTGCAGCCCTGGCTTCGTCCAGAAGGTCATCTGGACGATCGTTCTGCTATTTGGCCTAATTAGCATATTAGCTCTTGATTATATAGGATGACACATGCAAACAATATGAAATTCAAATTTCAGTGTCTATAAATAAAGTTTTTTTATTGATTTTTTACAGAGAGGAAGGGAGAGGGATAGAGAGTTAGAAACATCGATGAGAGAGAAACATCGATCAGCTGCCTCCTGCACACTCCCCACTGGGGATGTGCCCACAGCCAAAGTACATGCCCTTGACTGGAATCAAACCTGGGACCTTTCAGTCCCCAGGTCGACACTCTATCCACTGAGCCAAACCGGTTAGGCTATAAATAAGGTTTTATTGGCACAAAGCCACACCCATATGGCTGCTTTCAAAGTATGCAGAGCTGAGTAGCTGTGACAGAGATTCTCTAGTCTGCAAGGCCGGAAATAATTACTTTCTGTCCCTTTGCAGAAAATGTCTGCTGACTAGGCTGGTGCGTGCAAGGTCTGGAGTGGAGAGCCATGGAGAGAGGCAGCCTCAGGGACAGGCCATGACCGAGGTCACCGTGTCCTGGAGAACAGGTGGGAGCTGGAGCAGGATCAGGAGGAAGCACCTGGCGAGCTGGCCAAGGCTTGCCCCTTGCACAGGCACGGAGCAGATCTGCCTGTCACTGGGCCCAAAATAGTGTGGGACGAGACAGGACATGGGAGAGGTGGTTCTGGGGCAGCCAGGGCCCTGCCTGGCCACCCAGACAGCTCGGTCATTATGAGAACAGTAGCAATAGGGTGACCAACTCAAAAAGTCAGAAGACAAGTATTGGGGAGGATGTGGAGAAATTTGGAACCCTCATTCACTGCTAATGGGGATAAAAAATGGGGGTAGCTGCTATGGAAAAGAGTGTGGAGATTTCTCAAAAAATGAAATATAGGATTACCATGCGACCCAACAATTCCACTTCTGGGTGGAATTAGAAGAATTAAAGATCTCAAACAGATATTTGCACACCCTCATCCATAACAGCATTATTCACAATAGCCAAGAGGTGGGAACACCCAAAAAGCCATCAACAGATGAATGGACAAACACAATGTGGTCCATCCAGATAATAAAACATTATTCAGCCTTAAAAAGAAAGAAAATTCTGTGAAAGTTAGAGGTTTATAAGAAAAATAAAAAGAAGT